ACTGGTATAATACACACATAACCAGCACATACGAGAAAGAGGGAGTTGGCTCCTTCACCTTCGCGTTTTATTGCGACTTGTAAATGGTCCAAGTCGGACCACAACATACTCATAAACTTCTCTCTCCACTGTGCGGGTTATTTGTGTAAAAGTAAAATTGCTGTTTCCATGTGCTCACTTCAAAATGCATCTTTTGATCGGCTTCAGACTTTCAAACTTGGTACATCTTTCTAAGAGGAAAGTTGGATTATTAAAAGGCTACAGATCTGCCAGTTTGATAATTTAATAAATATGATGTCATATTTTCTGTGCATTACTCAAGAATGTCTGTACTGCACGACTTCCAACTTACAAAGTTGAAGTATCTATCCAATAAAAGGTTAAAGTTTTAAGATGTATTGGTGCAGATCTGCAAATTTTATGTATAATAAAAGTCTGAAATGGTATAGAAACTAACAATAGGTTATAAACAACGCTTGGATGCAATGAATATCTCATTAACATCATTCCACCTACAAGGGGCTATATCAAGTATATTAAGAATACATGAGAAAGAAGAGTGGATATATATACGAGTACCAACAAAGAAAGATGAGGTACTGGAGACCATTGTCAGTATTATGATCCATATCCCAACATCGAATATGCTATATAAAAAAATGACAGATCACCATGCCAGATTCTGGTGACCTGGTATTATCTGTAACTGTTGTACTTGGAACATGACCTGCTATAGACGAACACTTGCCATAGTTAACGCTTCATTCCTTGCTAAATTCTGTGTGGAATCACTGAAAGCTTAATGGTTCAAAGATGTCATCCTAATGTAGTTTACCAGAAGCACACATGAGCAGTGATGATCATCATGCATAAGTAGGTTCAACTCTGACACCATCCAGAACTAAACCCCTTAACGCTATCTGCTCTCTTCTGCAAAACCAGGATACAAAGATGATTTACAGAAAATACCAGAAACCTATTAATGATGATGAAAATGTTATATAGTACGAAGTTGATGAGTAAGACACACATGCGACAGTTGGGTATCATTCTTCTTGAAACCCTTCACCTACGCAGTAAGCTTCGACCGTCAAATATAGAGGAGAATAAATTTTAAGCAGCAGGACTATTAGCGAGTTGAAGATGACGTAATCAGTCCATCACCGCTGGAGGAATAGTTTTTGAGGTAGTCAGTCTCTCCAATTTATTCTCCTCTGCATTGGACTGAAGGCGCCTACAGCGTAGATCACCTACTGATTAACGTATCATTAACCACTTCATATGAAAATTCGATGTGAGATCTGGAAGCATAAAGATTATACATCCTGGAATTTCTAGTAGAGGAATATGGTATTATTAAAAGGATCTTCATATACAACTGCAATCATATATAATAAAACATTCGGATTAGTTGTGGGAAACAGATGCAAATTTTTAAATTTTATTGATTAAATTGAGAGACTGATTTTTGTGAATTAACTTGAGAATCCCCCTTTATATAGACTATATTTTCACCGCTGGTGTATCTTACCTATAGAAAAGTTCTAATGATTTTAGATCTTTCTGCATGGTGATTTACTAGTTATATAAAAAACTAGAGTGTTACGCTAACCCTTCTGAAGCATAACATTATTGTATGAAACTGGAAAAATTTAAATGGCGGTATATTGTTTACATTGTACACAAATATGTCTTGCTCATTCCTTTAATCTATTTAGGGAATATATTTTTTTATCTTACAGTTTAAAAGGTATACTTTAAAATGTTAGGCTCTAGCGCATGTTCCGGCGCAAAAGAACTTCGGTTTTAAATTTCAGGAAGTTAAGCCCATATATTTCCAAAGATTAACTTCCATGATTAACTTCTCTGAAAAGTATTGTCTCCCTGTCTCATATTATACAGGAGATTTAATTTGCTGATCATCTGGTAGTGTTTTCATTGTATTTACTTTGTAATCCTCTTTTAACGAGGTAGTTAACCGTCAGTGTACTTCTTAAATGGTATTGTGAAGAACTTGTTGTCTAATAATAGGGATAACAACCAATACAGTGTTTCTTATTAATCTATCTACCATAGTAGAGTTTATTATACAGTCGCTGATGAAGGTCGCCACTAATGCTGAGTCCAGCAATATTACAATCCTTGTTTCTCGGTCGTCGTGTGGGCTAAATACTCTAATTGGAATCAACTAGGGTCATCATCTAAGCTTAAACCGTATATACTGATTATGCTACTCTCTTTGATACCTATTGATGCCTTGCTATAGGTGTATTATTGTAGTGTTTGCTCATTAAGAAGGGTGATGTTTTTCGGGAAGGGTGGCAGATATAAGTGTTGGTTTTGTTTATTGTGTCATTAACGAGGGGAAACGAAGGGTTGCTGCTTTTCTTTTTTTTTTGGTTTGAGGAGAGATGGGTTGCATATGTTATCACTTCTTCTTGGTTCATCTTATTTACGATTTGCTGCTTTTCTCAATGCCCTCTTCATTTTGTAGAGATAAGCCCTCTGAATATTTTATTTTATTTTGGAGCACTCTACAAAAATATCCTGTCTGTGGAGTCATTGAGGTTACTTTTTTTTCATGATAGCTGCTTCATTCACGAGCCTCTTATTCTTTCATTAGTGTTTTTCTATATTTCTGTCTCATATTTTCCTGAATATCACTTTCAATTACATGTTATGTCCTGTAAGTTATCTTATTATCTTACGATTTTTACACTCCAAGACTCGTCATCAGTATGTCTCATTTTTTATTCCGTACTCTTGATCTCCCATCTTGAATTGTGTGCCTCTCGTGTCTTGTCGAATATATAGTTTTTTTTTCAATTCATTGCATTTAATTTTTACATATGACATTGTTTCCTACCTATACTGTCATCCATCCTATATGTTCTTAACTATGCTTTACGTGGGTGTCTGTGTTTCTCAGTTCACTTCACTCTTCAGTTTGTGAAATTCAACCATCTCCATTCATTTTATATCTCGCATTTTCTGCGAGGTTATTTGCGTATTGTTCCAGTCACGGTAATGTGCCTTTTTGCTCTTTAACGAAAGAAATTGTTCTCTCTTGTGCGGCACGTGATATATCGCTCAGTATAAAATATAAACAGTGTGTTCTCGAGCTATATTCTTCCCTCATATCATAGTCTTTGCACCCCATTAGATCACTTTGCTGTATTTTGTTATATTTTAATCAACTTGTGACTTTTATCTTCGAATTTTTTGTACATACCTATGAATTTTTGTATATTACTAACGGTATGCAGTATAAACAAGTTGTACTGCAGGGAAGCACTAAATATAAGGAAAAGAAGAGATGTTAAAACGAGGGGAAAGTAATGAGTGGGGTTCTACAAGGATCGTTATTAGGACTAGTAATGTTTCTGGTTTATGTGATATATATATATATATATATATATATATATATATATATATATATATATATATATATATATATATATATAATATATATATATATATATAGAGAGAGAGAGAGAGAGAGAGAGAGAGAGAGAGAGAGAGAGAGAGATTGAAGCAGCTATATCCCTGTTTGCTAATGATTTAAAGCTATTGTGAATAATTTATAAAGATGAAGACAGGGAAAGTTAACAAATGGTTCTGGACAGCTTGAAAGATTGGTCAGGTAAGAGGTTGCTTGATTTCAACCCCAGTTAATGCTAGGCTAAAAAGATTTGGCAAGAGATAAGAAGACTGGACACGAAATAAAGAGTCGGGGCTCAGAGCCTGCATACCTCACTCAAAGAGAAAGGCCTAAGAGTGAGCGAGACGCCTGGTGTATAGTAGAAAATTAACATCAACGGAGTATTGTAGATGGTTTAGAAAATCTCGTTCTAGAAAATCTCATTCCACAAAACAGAATGAGACATCTGTGCAACATCTGGAAATGCTAATTACGGAAATGTTTAACCAGCCAGTGACTTCTCCGGTCCATTACAGAGAAGAACAGTGTAAGATTAGGAGTCTGAGGTTATCATCCCCTCAGCTTAGACTCGATGTGTTCAGCCCATCAAACTTGAGGAAATTTTCTCAAGATTAATGGACTGTACACAGTCTCCAGACTGAGTGACTGATTACCTCAAGCTTCTCCTCATCTTCCACAGTTTTTCTCTGCAATAGACTGAAGGAGCCACTGGCTGACGAAACATTTTCGCAATAAAGATTCCCAAATGTTGCACGTTTAATTTTTCAATCGAATGACCTCTGCACAGAATGCAAATTCAAAATTAGCCTTCACGAACCTCAACCAAAACATTCCGAGCCCCTCTATACAATATTTGTGCATGCTAAGCCCATATTAGAGTAAATAACACCATTGTGGTACCAATACCGGAGACAGCATGGTAAGATTCCGTAAAAAGTGGAGATGCATACAACGAGGCTTGTTCTGGTGCTATGGGCTATGAACATTGAGGAGTGGCTAACGAAGTTGAGCTTACCGACAGTGGAGGACAGGGGAACCAGGTGAGACATTAATAAAAATTCAGAGGAATTGGTATAGTATTCAGGGATTGGTTAACTGAACGGTGGGAAACAGGTACTAGGGGGCAATGCTGGAGGTTAAAGACACAAAGGAGATTGAGGAATGTTAGGATGTATTTCTTCAGCTTCAGAGTGGCCAGGAAGTGGAAAGACCTCAACGAAAAGGCGGTAAAGGCAGGTTCCATACATAGCTATATGATGAGGTACAACGAGGGACTAAGAGGGACTGAATCGAGTAAGTGCAAGCTGAGAGCGGGTCCAGTAACTAAGAGCCGACCCCTGCAACCACAGAGGAAACACACAGACACACACACAGACTCAGATTATGCACAGGGATTTTAGGAAGCATTTCTTCAATCAAAGAGCTGTCAGGAAGTGGAATAGTCTGGAGAGTGATGTAGAGGAGGCAGGATCCATACATAGCTTTAAGAAGAGGTATGATAACGCTCATGGAGCAGGGAGTGTGTGGAGCTAGTAGCTTGATTCTTCATCTTCACCAGGCGGGGAGACTCCAGCAGCTATACACTCAGCCTCGGGATGGCCGCGTGCTGCTCTGCCCCTCCTCATCAGCCTCCTGCTATGCCTGTCCTCCACCATTATGGTGAGTACCACGCAGTTACACTGTTTATATTATGTCTCTGTCGACCTTCCTGGTCGATATTGATGTCTCTAGCTTCCCTCGTTCAGATATAGACATCAACTGATTACATTGCTACATTTTATCTTCCCCTGAAACAAAGTATTAATTTCCTGAAGTTCGGTGCTTATTTCTTACAAAATTTTAGAAGAGTTCCCAGTAATAAATTTTGTATACAACTGGAAGGAACTGCAATACTGCACTGAACATTGAGGCTACGAAGTAATAGTAGCACCATTGCTTATATTATTCATTCTACAGTGTAACTTATTTTTATATGATGAAAAAACTTACTACGAAATCCATATCAGATGTTAGAATATTTATGCTCCAGTAAGATAATAAAATTTTTCCTGTTTATAATTTGTTAGAATTTAAAAAAAAGCTTATAAACAAAGCATTTTTTTTTAATTTTGGTATATAAAAATTTGAAGAGTAAAGGAATCAACTAACATATTCAAGTTTTATCACACGAAATATCAATAACATGATTACAAACAATGCATGACACGGATGGAATTAGAACTCATGGCAAATGAGTTTTACGACGCACTTACCATGATTAATTCTTTCAGTATAAGTCAACAAGGAAAGCGCCTCATCAACATATCTCAAGTAGATAATAACAGCTGGGAGAAAGTCTTTAAATTTGTCATCACTGATGACAAATTCAAGGTCTGTCATGCATTATACGAAAAAAAATCATCAATTAAAAGTTTATTCCAATTATTATTAGTAGTAGTAATAGTCTATTATTATCATCACAACTAAGCGTTAAACCCATAAGGGCCATACAGCACTGCATTTATTCCAGCGAAGATCATACATCAGCAGTTTTTCGACCGAGCTGCTGAGAAGTGTCTACACAACACTTTAGTTAATAACATACAACTGAAATGTTGAAAATCAGATTCCCTGTTCGTCTTGAAATATTTTTCTCATAAATCAAAGAGGTTTTAGAATTTGTGCGAGCAGTTTTTGACAGTCTAAGTTGCTGATATTTCCAACTTAAATCAATCCTCTTAAATTCAATGGGAATTTCACATATACGGTTTGCAAAAAATTTCTTGAGTGACGATTTTAGGTTAGGTTAGGTTATTATTGTTCTTCATCAACAATAAACAAATAATTATAACGTACGACAATATCAATAAATGAAATATTAAGTAAACGTGATATAAAAAAGTTTTAATACGAGAGCAAAGAACTGCAAGTCACTGTGAATATTAGAAGGAACTGTGTCGTATATAATCTGTTTTGAATGAGCATAATCTTGTAGTTAGTTTAAGCTTGTAATCGTATGATCGTGTTTTGAGTATAATATTGTGGTGAGTACAATCTTGCATTGGATATAATATTGCGGTGAGTATAATTTTATGATGGTATGATCTTACAGCCAGTGTAATAATGTGATGAGCGTAATCTTGTGATAGTGTCTTGTAGCGAGTTTATTGCTGTGGTGAGAATAATCTTGGGGAAAGAATATTCCTGTGGTATTATCTGACGGAGAGTATAATTTTGATTGAATAAAATCTTGCAGGTGAGTATCAACCGATGATGAGTATAATTCTGTGTTAAACATGAATGCCTCCCTCTTACTTTTAAATTTTCGTAAACAAAATATCCCTCTAAATAAAACTGAAGATTAAAAAATCGCAATAAAAGGTACTGTAAATTAACTGGTTCTTGACTGGAAGCTTTGAATTTGTCGGGAGTAGATTGTATTATTGTTGGTAGAATTACTTACAATATGTTAATTAAAAAGACACTGGTTCAACTAATGGGACATTATACTGTGGCAACGTTTCGCTCTCCAGGAGCTTCGTCAGTAACAGCTTGACACAGCTCCTGGAGGGCGAAATGTTGCCACAATAAAATGTCGCATTAGTTGCACTTGTGTCCTTTTACTGGACATGTCTGGAGTAGTTTTTGTTTTCCCTAGGAGAGAGGTCGGTGAGCTTTTTAGGGTATTACCCCAAAACAAATTTGAGTACAGCGAAATTACCCCCTAAACTTTTCATGAAAGTCCACAGAATCCAGAAAACACAAGAAACATTAAAATTTAAAATAGTTTATTGAATCTATTTGTTTGAAGAATACTGCCAAACAACCTGAAAAGTATGTATTATACGCGATAAATAAATGTTACACCGTACACCCATAATTTTTATGACAAATTACAAAACACTACCTTACCCGAGTCGTCGAAAGTAGTAAACCTACTGACAAAAGCAATGCACTTCTATTGACTACGAGCAGAGACAGTTAAGTTAATTAATGATAGCGAGACAGGACACTAGGCCATAAGATATGTGATGGTAGTGTTAACAATGGGACGTGTGGTTGTCCTGCTGGCTCCGACACGACAGCAATTTAGATTTTAATTTATTAAGAAACTAAAAATTATTCGTTTGAAAAAATAACTTTCATAATTTGTATTGCTTATTAAATATTAAATTTCTGCGCAATTTTCATTTTTACTCCATTTGGAGTAATTTTATCCAGGTTTCTCGACCGAAGCACCAAAGAGTTTGGTTCGCCGCTGGCGTTCACAAGATCAACACATGGAGCCCTTTACATTTAAATTCATAGCTGTAACTTGGTTTGTCATGTCGATGGGTGAAAATATGAAGAAAAACTCTTATAATATTTATGGGAATGGGTTAAACGCGTAGCGATCATACAGCACCATAGAAATGGGAGACAAACAAGGTCGATTCAAGAGAAGGGATGACAGGTTCAATTCTTTAATTCAAGGAGCTCCTCACAGGCATCTACGATAGTTTGTAGTTTGGGATGGGAATTGGTTGTTAGGGGTGGTAACACATGCTTAGCAATAGTAATGAGTGTCACGAATGAATATAAAATTTGCTTTCGGAACATGATGGTTTTCATCCCTCAACAATGAGATTTTTTTCTCCACAGTAAACATATCACAACAATGTATCGTGAGAATACAGCGGCTATTGTGAGAGCACCATCGTGGCAGCTGCACTATCGTAGCAGCAGCAGCACCACAGTAGCAGCAATACCTGTACAGCATCACCGTGACAACATCAAAAGGGCAGCACCACAGTGGTAACATCACAATAGCAGCACCACCGTTGCATCAGGACCTTCTTTACGGCAGCATCTCCATGACAGTACCACCGTGGAAGGACCACCGTGGCAACATGACTGTGGCAGCACCACCGTGATAACACCACCGCGGCAGCAACTAAAAATGAGAAGTATTACGGATTTACCCGTCCCCCCCACTAGTGTTACTGATACTTCTGAACACACACACACACACACACACACACACACACACACACACACCACACACACACACACAAACACACACACACACACGCTGCAATGGAGGCAACTAAATCGTCTCAGGGGATACAAAGGGAAATGCAGTGGGAGGACGAAAGGGAGAGGTCAGTTTTTGTTTTAGGGCTCCAGGAAGTTGAAGGGGAAACTTATGAAGCAAGAAGGCAGGAGGAGAAAAAAGTTATTGAAAGTATCATGAAAGCAATAGGAGAGGACAACACGACCCAAAGGACAAATTTTCGAGAATAGGGTGGTTTGCAAGAAGAAAAAACAGGCCAGTTAAAGTGACTTTCAAGGCAGAATCAGCTCGAAACAGTATCCTGTAGGAGAAAGCACGACTAAGGGACGTACCGAAGTGCCAGAGGGTGTACCTTCACTGCAACAGAACACAAGAAGAAAGGCAGAAATTTAAAGAGAGGGTACAAAGTCACAAGGAGGAATGAAAAGCAAAGATGGAGAAGAGCAGGAGAACCCAGACTCAGGATTAGGAGCAAATACAACCTCCCTCAGATCCACCCACAGAAGGACCTTAGCCACGACAACCCCAATGCAACCAAAAAATCTAACTCAAAAACTACACACTGTCCCCTCTGCCCCCACCCCCCTTCAGAGCAACCCCCCATAGTTCCCTGTCAGTCTCCCACTCCCCAGACCACAGTTTTAGAAAATAAGTTGAAAATAAGTGAGTGGCATGAAAGAATCAAGGAGACACCCCCAAACATCACAGCAGTCACAGAAATGAAACTCAACGGGATGATAACAGACGGATACCAGATCCTGAGGAAAGACAGAGGGAGTAGAGTTGGAGGAGTTGCTCAACTCATTAAAAACAGATGGGAAATTTGAGGAAATTGGAGGAATGGACGAAATTCGTAAAAAAGACTACATATTAGGTAGAATTCAGTCTGGGGGACATAAGGTAGTCATTGCAGTGATGTATAACCTGCCACAGAACTGCAGGAGGCCAAGAGAATAATATGAAGAGAGCAACAGAGGTGGCCAGCAAAGATCACATAGGTAGAGCAAAGCTATTGGTTATGGGCGACTTCAATCACAAGGAGAGTGATTGGGAAAATCTGGAGCCATATGGGGGTCCCAAAGCATGGAGAGCCATGATGATGGATGTGGTACTGGAAAATCTCATGCATCAACATGTTAGGGGCACTACAAGAGAAAGTGGGGAGGATGAACCAGCAAGACTGGGCCTCGCGCTCACCCTGAGTAGTGCGGACATTAAGGGCATCACATGTGAAAGGACCTTGGAGCTAGTGATCATGTGGTTTTGTGCTTTGAATGCATTGTAGAGTTACAAGTGGAGAGGATAACCAAACTACAAAAGGGGGGGACTGGGGGACTACACAGGTATGAGGAACTTCCTGCAGGAGGTTCAGAGGTAAAGAGAATTGGTAGCAAAGTCAGAAAATGTAATAATGGACTAAGTAACAAAAAAGATGCAAGGAGGGAGAGAAAAGGTTTGTTCCCAAGGGCAACAGAAATAATAGGAAGACCAGAAAGAGCCCTTGGTTTACCCAAAGGTGTACGGGGCAACAACTAAGTGCACTAGAGAATGGAAAAAGTACAGAAGACAAAGGACCCAGGAAAATAGAGATTAGTCAAGGAGCCAGAAAAGAGTATACACAGATAAAGAGGCCCAGCGACAGCACGAAAACGACATAGCATCGAAAGCCAAGTCTGACCTGAAGCTGTTGTATAGCCACATCAGGAGGAGGACAA